GTATCGGCAACAAGAGCCAATGATCGCCCATCACCGATCATGCGCTTTTTCACGGAAATCGGCCCGATTATGATCGGTGACCGATCGATCGGCACACCTCTAATACATAATGACCATCATATCAAAAGCAATTGAACATATAGGAAAAAGCAGAGAATTATACATAATTGCTTGGATGCACAAAAGCATTTGCAACTTGTTGGAAGAAATAAGAAACTGCTTTTTTCGTTGTGCACAAGTAACACCTGATTTGATGATTGAACAAGTAGTTTTGAAAATTTCAATTCTGTTCTGAGAAAAGCACCAAAAGAGACTAAGAAAAACTGTAAGGAGATTGTTTTAAAGGAGCCTACTCCATGTGATCTGATACGTGAAACCCAACAAAAACTCATTTGTGTGTTCCAGCTTCCATTGTGTCCTGTGTAGAATATGGAACATGTCTCCTAGAGATTGTGGCCTTTTGAAGATTTAACACAGATTCATAAATTAAGGCATACAATGAACATACTTGCAGGGTTAACTTTTCATTTTTGCAAAAGTGGAATTTCCAAAGTAGATTTTGTGCTGAGTGGGTTTTGCATAAATCTACTTTTTAAAAAAAGACTTCTGAACCTTACAGCTTTTGTACTTGATGTTATACATCAGTACTGTATGTCATGACTTTAAGTGCAAAACACAGAGCAGTGCTTTTGGTTTTGTTCAATACATTTTGGTTTTTTTCTGGTTCCTTCCTTAGGAGCTGCAGTGCCTCTTCAGTCATATCAGCAGAGAAGAGCCTCATTCTGTGTTAGAGAAGCTGCTGTTGTTGGTGCAACCAGATCGGTTCAGGATGGCCAAGACCTTCATCAAAACTCAGGGTCTCAGTGCTGACAGTGTGGCTGAGCTGGTCTCTAATGCAGTGGTTCAAGGCCTGCTAGCAGCAACCCAGGAGCTGCAGTCTGGTGAGAGCAGAGCCGTCTCTTACATCAAATATTATTTGTCCCTTTGCCATTTTCTCAGTTTATTCTGTGCATGTTTCAACCAGGAGAAAGGCTGATTTTCAGACCATCAGAGGGGCAGGAGTCACTGATACAACTGATCAGACTGTGTGAAGATCCAAACATAGTGGGCCTCAAACTGCTGGAAAACCTTAACTCTGTTCCACTGAGGGACCTGAACTCCAGTATGGAAAAATCCTACAAACATAACTGAACTCAACTAGTAGATATCATTTAGTTTAATTGAAATGGCTTTATTTGTATGTATCACTCTACATGACTCAGTAAACCACCTTTTTGACTGTCCTCCTTGCTTGTCCTGTTTAGTTGTGGAGCTGCTGATTGTGGCTCACAGCTGTTTCAGTCTCACTTGTAACATGGAGGGAATTGTTCGAGTTCTCCAAGCTGCTCGTCATCTCAGCCACACCTACCTGGCTCCAGGAGAGCACTACAGCCTGCTGGTGAGTCCTCGGTGTTCAACTGCAAACTAAATTGTTAATTCACTTATACCTTAGATCTCCTTCTCACAATGAGGGTTTTATAAAAAATGAAAGTATTTTCCAGAGTTGAGAACTGTTGAGTGTGTGACTTGGAGGTGTCTCTGTAGCTGATGACTTGTTCTTGTGTTTACTTGTTTCTTCTTAATTTGGTTGTGCTCGTATTGTTCTGGGGCTGGAAGCTTCAGGTGAAGTTGAGACTAGCACCAGGTGGTCAGATTGTGTTTGTGTAGTAAAACACTGGTGTTCAGAGTGAGATACTAACTTTATAACCAAAATAAAATTCAGAGGGCTTTGTCTACTTTGGTGGTGATCAGCCAAAAATCTTTGTGCCATCAACATATTTTTTTACTGACAAAGATATGTGGCTTTGTTTGACTGGATAAATTATTTTGGATGAGTTAAATGTTGTAACTCATCCAAATTTCTTTAGAGTTGTTGATGGTGAAGGCTTGTGGGCAGGCAGGATATTCTGCCTGCCCACAGCCAGGCAGAATATTACAGCAGTTCTAGCCTCTGACTGAAGACCCTCTGTTGTTGTATACAGTCTGTAATTCTCTTGATTCGAACACAACTCTAGAACCTTCTCTTGAGTCAAGCTAAGGTTGAAGAAGTGCTGCTGAATCCCACTGAGCTGCTCACTGTTTCTGTGTAAAACAACTGAAATGGATGGTTACTTCATCAGGTTGGTGTTCTTTTGTGTGTGTAATATATTTGTGTGTGTTCAGGTGCGTCTCCTGACGGGTATTGGCAGGTACAATGAGATGACGTACATCTTCGATTTGCTTCATCAGAACCATTGTTTCGAGATGCTACTGAGAAAGAAGGTGGACAGAGACATAGGACAGGTTTGACACACACGCGCACACACACAAAGATTTAAATGCATGAAATATTTAAACTTTTTTGAATTAGCCACTTTAATTTAGAGGTTTTAAGTCCCATTTATAATTCTATGAGCAGCCAGAGCTTGTTCCTCCCCAACATATCAGCCCCATCATTCATTTATTCCCTTCTTTTTTGCAGAGCTCTAGTTTGAAAACTTCTCTGCTGGATTACATCAAACGCTGCCTCCCTGCTGACAGTGAGAAGCACAACATGGTGGCGCTGTGTTTCAGCATGAGAAGGGAAATTGGAGAAAACCATGAAATAGCTGCCAGGACACAGCTGAAGATGATTGAATCTCAGGACTGGGGTGAGCAGAGCAAAATCAAACGTTACAAATTACCTGCTGTGATTGCAGAGTAAGTTTCACTCTCATTGAATTTGTTATACAGTTGTGAATCCTGATCTTAAGAACTCATTGGTCAAGGTGTTGGGTCTGCTAAAGGATGCTGCAGAAAGTTTCTCCAAGGTACTTCCACTTCCTTTTCTACACCTAGGAATAACTTCATGGTTCATGATCAATTGTCATTGTTTGTTTTTGTGTGTGTCCCTACCAGGACTCCTGTGTGCATCAGGCTGGTCGTTGTGTCCGTGCAGCCAAACTGATCACTCTTCAGCTCCACTTGTTGAACCAGGGATCCAACCTACGCATCATAAACCTAAAGCCTGCAGAGATGCATAGTGCCATCTTGGCTCTGCCACAGTGCTACCAGGTGTGCAGCATCCCTCTGCTCTCTAAATCTGCTTTCAGCCGTGCCTCCTTAAATTCCAATAAAACGGGCAGCTCTGAAAGCATGGTCTAACTGATATGTATGTTGATTCTATATGTGAGAGAGTTTGATGGCGTTTGTGTGAAACATTGCGATCATAGAGTTTATGAGAGGGTTTGGTTGTGTTTGTGTGAGAGTAAAAATGTAGGCATGTAAGCGCAATTGTAAGTTTTGGCCCATGGGAGCTCTTATTCTGCTTCCTGTGTCTCAGGTGTTTGTTGTCGCAGAAGCGTACAGCTACAGTCCAGACTGGGCTGAGATTTTGTATCAGAAAGTGGCTCTGAAGGGACACTTTGCTTACCTTGAGGAGCTGAAATGCCACCGTCCTCTCACCTCCGCCCTATTTGAAGACATTTTCAGAAAGTAAGCCATAGTGGGTTTTCTTCCCCAGCCTTTGCCAAAGTACATGTCTAAGAATGGTTTTTGACATTATGTCTTTTGTAACTGAAGGTTGTTCTGTGTGTCATTCCAGGCTGGACAGCATCCCCAGTAGCGTCTGTTCCAATGTGAAGCGTCTGCTCAACCACTGTGATGATGTGTACACCCGCTACAGACTGGCCTACCAGCAGAATCTCTATGATGTCACCAAAACACTGCTGCAAGACAACAAAACCTCCAGCTACATGAATGACAGACTTGCCAGTAAAGCATTTATCTGACTGAGCAATGTCATGTGTCTGTCAGGACAGTCCAGTCTACAGTCAGTGGTCTGTAAATACCCAATAAAATGATTTTGGTGTACAGCAATTATTCATGTGTACAAAATATAGTTTTATGAAACCATTAAAATGACTGAACTTTTCTAAGCTAAATGATGTAATATTAACATTAAACAGTTTCTGATCAGGATTTCAGAAACTGAAATCCTGATAATTTCTGTCAGGATTTCAGTTTCTGTCTTTATTTGATCAGCAACAAATTCTGTTAGTCTGTGAAAATGATCACAAAATGACTACATAGTTTTTACGATTACTCATCCAGTTGTGGAACCTAATAAACAAAATACAGTTGTATGGTCTGTATTATGGTTATCAAATAATACACATATGTCAATAGTGAAAGATTGTGGAAAAAAATGCAACCACTGTAAAAAAAAAAAAAAAAGTGCTTTTAAAAAATTTTAAGACTAAGGTCAAACTGTTATGTTCATTTTCTAATGTAGGATATTGTGATAGGCCTTCATCACCATGTCACAGCAGTGCGTACACAAGTGTTATTGACATTGCTAAGACAGTCCTAGCTTTGGTTGTTTTTGACTGGGAGAGGTGTGTTTGAATTCTGCAAATGGCAGTAGGACCACTTTGGGGGAAAAAAAAAATCAAGCTTCTCTGGTTCATCATAGATTACCTGTCTCATTATACTGTCAGGAAAACATAGTGAAACCTTAAATATGAAAAAAAAAAAAAATTTATAAAAGTATACAAAGGCACACTTTTGTATACTTTTAGTGTCTCACAGAACACTAATGAACCATCACCCTATCTCTGAGAGAGTCCAGACACCCTATGGAAAAAACCCATTTTGGCCGCTTGACCATAGATGAGGGTAGGAACGCAGATCAACCAGTAAATCGAGAGCTTTGCTTTTTGATTCAGCTCTCTCTTCAACACGACCGATTGCTGCACCAATCCACCTGTCAATCTCTTGTTTCATGTTTCCCTCATTTGTGAACAAGATCTCTAGATACTTGAACTGCTCCACGTGGAGCAGGACAAGACCATGTTCTCGGATTAGGATGCACAGATTCTCATCCTGGCTGCTTCATACTCGGCTGGTAAGCACAGGCTTTTACCACTTTCCCCAAGTACTTCTTCTGGTCCAGGTGACTTTTTTGGGTGTACTCTTGAGTATCCGACGTACTTGGTGTACCTGAAGAGTAAGAGCTGGAGGACTGCGAGACTGGCAGTGTTTTGTGGAAGTGTGTGACCATCCCACTTCAACTCTTGCAAAAAGAAAAAAAGAGATTTAGTTCTTCCACCAGGAGGGGGTCAGTGCAAGATGCCGTATGCTCTGCCAGACCTGCTGTGACTTATTTTGAGCCTGTTGGTCCTTCATTTTCCATGTGAATTCCACTTCAATTATTTGAAATGTGGACATTCAAATAAAATGTGGAGATTTGTCTTGGAGTAGTGAACAACTGTAACCCTGATACATTTATGCAGTCAATATTTTCTACTCCACTGAAAGAATGTGGTGCTTGTGCACACATTTTAATGGGTATCAAAGCAGTATTGAACAAACCATACAGTATGCTACCGATGAAAAATCAGTTTTGATAGAAGATAATTATGTTGCCATTTGTCCAGGTATCATAATGAGCTCAAGCATAAGTTTATCCAAAATAGACACTTCAGAAAAAAACAAAACACAAGTCTATGCATCGTCTTTTCTGAAACGGCCTCTGTTCTTCAGGAGTTGGTTGAGGACGCTGTTCTGTTTCAGAACCCTCAAGTCAGATATGTCCTCTGCAATTACAGGTATGTCCTCATTGTGACACGGCTCATTGTCTTCATCGTCATTGCTGTCAGACAGTGTACACAGGAGGGCATCATTCTCATATGTTGGGAAATAATATCTGGAGATCAGAGATTCAGAAGAGAGTTTAGCTGGTTCCCTGTGAGTTTGGTTCAAACTCACAGCCGTGAGTTTGAACCAAACTTTAATGATATGTTATCTTAAAGATGGGATTACTCAGATTCAATACAAAAGCATCATGAAGCATCATGTTCTTGGTAGGACTTACTGTGGTTGGTCCCAGGTGGACATCTCTGGCAGTTTCATCACATGCCCTTCAGAAATGATGTGGTCCATCATGTCTGCTCTGGAATCAAACTTCTTCTGGCAGCCATAGCAATGGCTCTGGTGGATTTGCCGCCGGATAAAGTTGACCAGCTTCACCTGCTGGTAGAAGTTGAGGTCTGACAGAGGAGACATCAGGACAGGATGAAGAAAATGACACTGGTCATATTTAGCAACTGACTAAACTGTCCAGCTTTTTAAAGAATCTCTAGTTTAAAACTAAACTGAAGACTCTTATCATACAAACAAACACAAAACCATTTTAAGGAGCTGAAATTAAACAGCCTTCATCCACTTCATACCCTCAAGTGAAAACAGAAAGTCTGTCCATGTCCCCTACAGACGTAATTTGAATACGTCTCAGTAGACATGTAAAAAAATCTAATTTGGGGCAGTGTCCAAACATATTAGGTACCAACTGTATATCGAATCTGATAGTTTGTAAATCAAGCTGATAATTAGGGTGATGGCAACAAAGCTGCTGCTTGGTGATAATGTTCTGTTTACATATTTTACTTACTGAGCTCCATCTTTAAGTTATGAAGATCAAAACCATGGGAGTCCTACAAAAATAACCCGACAACAGAATCAGAGACACGATCACAATTGTGTTCAACAAACTGCTATTGAAAAAAGAAAACATTGCTTCTTTTCTTTTCTAAAATCTCTGTATATGTCATAAGTGTACTTTACCTTCATGTGTGTATAAATCTGATCCATTGTCTCTGACTGATGGTCACAAAAGAGACAAACGGCAGAGACAGGATGGGCATGCCAGTCGGACCAGTCACTGTGGAAATAAATGTTAGTCAGAGGGAGCAAGCAAATTCACACACTTCACAAAAAAAGAGATGGTCTCGTATGACGTGGATGTACACACATGTGGACAAAGTTGTCTACTTTTATAAATTCCTGTTGAGTGCAAGAGCCAAGCAAGCAGTGTGGCTTTGATATTTCAACTGAATGTTGGTGCAGAGCCAGATTTACTAATGGGAAACAAATCTGGCCAAAGTGGACTGGGACTGAACCGGTTAGAGGCGGTATAGTAGAAAAGCAACTTTTATAAACCTGTAAAATAAATATGCACACAGTTGTAGTTCTAGCAGGAATGGTGCCCTGGGCAAACCCCTCCATCGGCAATGCAAGCAATTATCTGATTTTTTTTTTTTTTTTTGCATCAGAATGGAGTTAGTATAGTCTCAGTAACTAAGGGAAACTTACTCCACTCCACTTGCAAACCAAGTAGTAGCAAACCTGTTCAGGGGACAACTGACAGATGAGATATATTTTATTTTGTAGTTTTTGGGTGTCATACCCCTTACTGATGACACCCTGGGCAACTACCCATATCACCCATATCAAAACCCTCCATTGTATGAACATTACCAATACATTACATTACAACACTGAGGGATACTAACAATTTTGTCCACATGTGTCAATCAATTCCATGTCTAAAACTGATTTAGCTTTCAGCATCCAGCTGTTTGGATGCAGTTAGAAAAACCCAGGCGTCCGACCTGAAATTCTCCTTCATGTAGATTTTGATGAAGATACTTACTCATCTTCAACATCTACCAGCTCCCGGTCGTCCTCACTCTGAACCTCCTCCCAGGTTTTTCCCAGTTCCTTACAAGAGAACCAAGTAATGAGCAGAATGCACTGACTTTTTAATTAGCACCTCAAGTTAAGAACAAAGGTTACAGGAAGAGGACTAAAGGAAAAATAAAAATAAAAGCGTGACCTACTCTTCTCAAACTTTTATCTTTGAACAAATTGCTTGTGGATTTGGCCTCTGAAGTTTTTTGAATTTTGACTGCCCTTCAATGTTTATACGTGAAAAAAAAACACCTGTTTTGATGTATTTAATTCTTGAAACAAAGCTGCCTCACCTTGCTTGCTCACTAATTTTTAGTGTGGAAGTGAAAGTCAAACAAAGTTTTAAAAATTCAAATAAAATGCAATTTTCTACATTTATATTTGGTACGGGTAACAAAGTTAGAAAAAGAGGAGATATTAAACTGCTTCAGGTCGTCTTAGTGACTTGTAATACGGTGACTGTTGTGGAACTTTGGGCAGGAAAACATTCCTAATCTCAAGAAGGGGCCAATCAAAGCTCGTCAGCCAAGGTGAATGAGTTGAATGCTCAGTAAAATGATGCGTAATTTATTTTCAGTGTTCCTACAAAATTCATTTCACACAGAAGAGGATTGCTGCTACAGAATTCTGACTTTCTTTTCTCAGAGTTCTGACTTTAGACATGGTGACGTGGTGCAGAGATGACATAGAGGCAAACAGTTTTTTGACTATCAAAGCATGTACCAAAGTTAACGGACATGCACCAAGTGTTATTTGAACCTTTATGCATGTCATTTAAGCTAAATAAATTATGAATCCTTGAAATTATGGAAGTGGATTAGAGCCACTGCGGAAAAAAAAAAATCTGCCTTTAATCTCAGAATTCTGACTTTTAATCCTGAAATAAGAAAATTGTAACAGAAGCCTTATTTCAATTTACCAGATAGTTGATCACATAAAAGCGGTCGTATTCATGGTTGTTGGCATTGATGCGACGGTGAGCTTTCTTCCTCATATGGTCCTTCAGTGTAGATTTGTCACGGAAGATTTTTTCACAGTACAAACACTGCAGGCTTATGGAGGAGAGAAAATACATCTTCTTTATGTAACAGGGAAAATAAACTAAATGGAAAACTGCAGTTTT